CCACCAGTTGGGAAGTAGCCAGCGCACACTGAGTGGCGGAGGAGATGACTCTGTCCTGCTGTACCGGGTCCTGAGCCGTGTTGGCCACTGTCTTTGCCTGGAGCACCAGGGAGGCCGTGGCGTTGGCAACTGCCTTAGCCAGGGACAGGAGGGTGTCCTGTGGGAGAGAGAGAGGGAGGGAGTGAAGGAATGAAGGAGGGAATGAAGGAGGTAATGAATGAAGGAATGAATGAGGGAATGAATGAGGGAATAAATGAGGGAATGAATGAGGGAATGAATGAGGGAATGAATGAGGGAATGAATGAGGGAATGAATGAGGGAATGAAATGAAGGAGAGAATGAATGAGGGAATGAAGGAGGGAATGAAGGAGGGAGTGAATGAGGGAATGAATGAAGGAATGAAGGAGGGAATGAATGAGGGAATGAATGAGGGAATGAAAGAAGGGGAAGCCTGGAGCACCAGGGAGGCAGTGGCGTTGGCAACTGCCTTAGCCAGAGACAGGAGGGTGTCCTGTGGGAGTGAGAGAGGGAAGGAAAGAAAGAATGAAGGAGGGAATTAAAGAATGAACGAGGGAATTAAAGAATGAATGAGGGAAAGAGGAAAAGAATGAAGGAATGAAAGAATGAATGACGGAATGAATGAAGGAAAGAATGAGCGAGGGAATGAATGAAGGAATGAGGGAATGAATGAAGGAATGAATGAATGAATGAGGGAATGAGAGAATGAATGAAGGAATGAAAGAATGAATGGAGGAATGAAAGAATGAATAAGGGAAGGAAAGAAAGAATGAGGAAAAGAAAGAATGAAAGAGGAAATGAAAGAGGATGAAAGAGGGAGAGAGGAATGAGGGAGAGGAGGGAGGGAGTCAACTGTGACAGCCGCAGAGAGTTTTTAGTTTAGTGGTAACCCACACATGCCAGAGATTAGGTAGCATTTTTGAGGGGGGGGAAGGGGGAGGGGGGAGGAAGAGGAGGAGAGGAGGGAATATAATGTACTTTTCTTTCTTATTTACTCTCAGTATGGCTCAAAATTGGTGTATTCTTTTGACTGTTTATAGTATCCACAATCGTAACTATAGTTACCACAGTTGTTCACCCTATCCATATGATGTGGGGAACTCTGTGCCACCACTTAACCCTTTACCTGGAAGATCTTGTCCAAGTCCTGAGCCGTCTCTCCGACCTCATTCATAACTTCCTGCGAGGCTTCGCCGATTCTGCCCGCCGCCGCAAGCAAGTTCTGACGGGGCTGGGGGAGGAAAGGTCAAGGCCAAAGGTTAAGG